GTTATTGAAATATTTTTACAACCAAAAAATGACAGAAAAATTCTGTATTAATTATTTTCTGTTTCCTTTTTATCGAGAGTATTGCGTTTTTTTCTTGCGGTATTTAATGAGTAAGAAAAAGAGAGATTCCAAGATGTAAAAACTAGGTTAATCTTCTACACGCGTGAACTATATTTTTTGCAACAATGTAATACCCTCTTTAGTAAAAATTTAGTATTTTTCTAAGTACATTTGACATTCTCTGTATAAATGTTATGAATAATTTTTTAAACTTTTTATAACTTTTGGTAAACTTGATTGATTTTGGACAATTTTAATATTAAATGACCTCGTGTAATCTTTGAATTTCGCATTCATAGTTATTGCGTTATTTTATATTTTATTATATATATATGATTGCATTAATTAGAATTCTGGTAGATTCAATCAGTATATCTTGAAAAATGGACGAACCAGAATTCTTATAGGAATTACCAGATAAATCTGATTAATTTTTTCCTGTTCAATTTACCAAATTTTCTGGTTAATAATACTAAACTCACCAACACCAAGTCGTCTAAAATTTTGTCCATCTAATCTCAAAAGTCTGTTTAATATTCTGAATTCCAACAAGATTATTGGATAAATTCAATCCCGATTGTTGAATAAATTATTTTAAATTCAGTTTGTTAAAAATTAAACTGATAAACAGTGATGCAAGAAGAGGATGCAGCTCAAACACACACAATCAGAGAGCTAGCATCCTCTTTCTGACACTACTGCTCGTAAAAGAAAAAAAATATACTTTGGATTAAATGTTAATATTAGTTCTTTATATACATTTCATGGCAAATATTGAATACGAGTTAAGTTAAGAATGGCTCGTCGCCTGGCAAGCAAAGAAATTAATGTAATAAGAAATTTTATAGATCCAACCAGAAAATACTAATCAAATTTTTACAGTAAAATCTATTAAACGTTCTAGTTATAAAAAATCAAGTCGTATCATAACTAGAAATTCTTATTTGATTTAACCAAATTGCCTTCAATCATATATATCTTGATACAATTAAACGCTTTTTCTCAGTGTACTATTAAAGTACATTATTTGTTGATTAAGAAATACATTTAATTTCAAATATATATATGAAACTTTTAGAAATTAAATTATTTTCGAATAAACATATCTCTGAAATATGAATAGAAATAAATCTCTCGTCGGTGGTCGTTCATTGATGACAGTAAAACGATGCCTCTTTCCTCTCTCTTTCCCTCCTATTAAAGTACATTATTTGTTGATTAAAAAATACATTTAATTTCAAATATATATATGAAACTTTTAGAAATTAAATAATTTTCGAATAAACATATCTCTGAAATATGAATAGAAATAAATCTCTCGTCGGTGGTCGTTCATTGATGACAGTAAAACGATGCCTCTCTGTCCCTCCCGCAAATGCATTCACCGCTAACTTTTCTCACTAAATCGCACGCTACTCATTCTCCTAGGATAAGCAATCCTGCCGCTCTCACCCGTAGGATAGGTAGGTTATATCGCGACCGCGTCGCCCCGTGCTCGCAGGGTTAGGTTAAGTTAAGTTAGGTTAGAGCCCGTCATCCCTCTCCGGCTCCGCAGCAGGCAGGTATACGGAATAGAGCCGCGCAGGGTCCGTCATGTGACTGTAGGCGGAGGCACCACACCCCCGCGGGGGTAGGCAGGCGATAGTACGCGCCGCGGGTGGTAGCGGAGGCGCATCGTCGCCGCTGCTGAGGGGGTTGCACGAGGGCGGCCGGGTGGCGGCTTGGAAGGGCAGAGGGGGGGGGAGGCGTCGCGGCGCCTCTCTCGCCCGAAGCGCAGTGCGACGTCGCGACGCGCCACGTGCGGTGGGCCAATACACATCGGAAGTACACGGGAAACGCGACATAACGTAACGCGCCGCGAAACCGGAAGTCGCCCTCGGTCACCTCGGCTTCCACCCTTACTTTCGCGCGTTCCCTCGTGTCCTCGTTTCGTGCCGGCTCGTCTGCCATCTTCGACGAGCCGCCGAGTGATTCCAAGGTGCGATCGAGGGTACACGCGTATATCGTCTAGTATATTTGCGACAAGTAATATATTTCGCGACGAGAGGAAGAGAGGGAGAGAAAGAGAGGAAAAGGAGCGCGGGGAAGAAGGTGCAACGGGGGTGGAGAGGGGATAAGAAAAAGAAAGTTGCAGGAGGAAAGAGAAGGAAGGGAGCCGGTTGGTAGGACCACGCGAGAGTAAGAGAAATAAAGAGAGAGAGGGACAAGGAGGACGCGAAAGTGTGAGAGAGGGATAAACTGACTGCGTTTCGAATTAGCCTCCGATAATCCGCTCGCGGATTAAGTTACGCGTGTGCGTACGTGCGCGCACGGTTCTCGCTCGCGGAAACGCATTTTCCCGCATTCGTTTTTCGAGTCTCGTGGAAAAACGCGAGTTTTGCTGCCGGTTGCTGCCCGTCATCGCCCGTCGGTGAATCTCGTTGCGAGACCGGAAACACGGGACGAGGTGAGTTTGCACTTGGCGAGGCCGCGTTTTTCACTCTTAGACAGCGATCGAGGATCAAGTGCGTTCTGGAAAATATAAGGATGTATCCATGTATGTCTAGTGTCTCGTGCGAGTGAACGCTGGATTGCATTGCAGTGACCTTGGGCTGTTATATGTCTAAAAGTGAAGTCTGAAGCGATAGAGTTGCGACTTTTTAGAAGGTTCGAAAATAGTGACTTTGCTCTTAAACACATTTTTCGCGAAATATTTTTATTGTATTTTTATAGAAAACGGTTCTTTTCGTTTTGAACATTTTAAGGAGTATTATTGCATCGAGGTAATTTTATTATTGTGTATGAAAAAAAATTATATATAATGTGTACATGTAAAATTTTCTTGTTTTTAACAAACGTGATATTTATTAAGTTTTACGCTTTGTTTTTAAAATTATAATTTAATAAAGAATCTTAAGCAATGAAAGAAACAGAAGTAATGTTGCAGAGATATTATTGTTATCGCAAAAATATTGAAAAAATATCGCAAAAAATATGAACAGTACTAGATACAAAAGAATAGATTATATTTTCTCAATTTACTGTAGAACTTTTGAAATCTCTTTGAAAGAGATATAAATAGAGGCGAAATCATAAGAAAAATATAGAGAAATATAGTTTTTCGTCATTGAACAATGATTCTTCAGTGAACAATGATTCTTCAGGAAAATTAAACATCTTTCTTATGGAAGCTTGTAAATTTTGTGATTTATTACACACCCTAGATTAATATAAAGGATGTTCAAAATAATGCAATATAATGTAAAATCGTCGTAATTTTTCAATCGTCAGTTTAATTTCGGGAAATTAATCATTTTTGGTTGTAAATATCTAATTTAGTTTATATTTGTATTTTTTGTGAAAACAGTGCAAATTTGATATAATAATGAATCATATAGAGATAATAATCTATAGGTTAGATTAGTTTATTTGTTGCATGATGATCAAATGTTAAAATTAGCGACGCCGATAATTTGATCACTATTTGATATTTAAATGCACAGGAGAGTACAATCAATGTAAAGTGGCTATGAGGATGCCGATTGAAATTGTACAATACTACACAGAAAATATGTGTGTTACATTTCCTGCGTTTAAATAATAATGATGTTCTTTGATTCGCACGATGAATTGGATATAGATGTGTGGTAAAAGATGCATAGCATTATTATGCGTGTGTTAAAGCGAGAACGATGTAATCGCATTTGATAGTCATTTATGAATATAGCATTTTGATGAGATTTCAATAATAAATTCTTCTCTAAAGAGTTTCGCTATTATTTTCGCATTATTGACTAGATTGATCGAGCGATGAAAATATTATTCATGCGAATACAAATTTTTCCACTCAATATAAATCTTTTTGCAATTAAATGGTTATATTTTATTAGTTTATATATTTTTGATTTATTTTTCACATCCAAATTGAAACGATATGTTTTTATTACATCCAACGTTAATATTATTCTACAATTATTATTATACTTTTTATTCACTTATTAAAGACTTTGAAATATTTTTTGAAATCTTAAAATAATTCTTAATCTTGGCACATTGTGATGTTTTATAGAATGTTTTTATTAAATTTAAATTTATATTAAAATCAATACTATTTTGATAAAATTACGAATAAAGCTTGTGAATCGATGTTAAACGTAAGTTAAAATTTGAATTGTGCCTGTAAATATTTTGGAAAGTGTACATATTTAGATAGAGATTATATTTATAGACATTTTGTAGCAATAACGAGAAAGAAGCTAGGACTATAATCTCCGCTTGCCGAGTGTCTTGAGATATCTTCTCGTTTTGTGAAAGTGTTTGCAATTAAAAAGCGGTCGTGCCACCTCGGGGAGCCGTATTTAACTTTGCTTAACTAAGTTCCCGATCCGTTGACGCGACGCCCCAGGGATTCCAGCCGACGAAAGTAATTCGCATTTTTGTTAGTCATCGCAGAAAATTTTCGCCAAATCTTACTTGATATTCGCACCTCGCATGATTTCACGCGATACGCGCACGGTTCAATTATGATGTAAAAATGACAAAATGAAAAAAACTTTAAGAAGCATATATATAATTTTTTTAAATTTATATTTATATTTATATTTATTTTAATTTATATTTTTTTAATTTATATTTATATTTATATTTTTTCCCTCTAATTTCCATTAAAGACACATATTTCTTTCGTAATTGAAGAACAGTAATGACAAGTAAATAAAATTATACATTCAAAAATTATTTCAGTAAATATTTAAATCTCTTTTATTAATATTTTTATTACGAGGAAGAATACAATTATTTGCATTGCTGGATCATATGATAACTTCTTGACGCGATGTTTTAACTTTAATTAAATTCATCTACTAATTTTTTTATTTAATTTGCCTTTATATTTTGAATACTTTTGCGTAATATTTCGATATGCTCGATTCTAACTTTCGTGTATTTTGATCATTTTTCAGTACAATTTGCGTCTTGACGAAGCTGCCGACGGAAGATGTCGTCTGCCGATCATCTCGGAACGTGAGTGACAAGCTGGATCTTGATAGTGTGCCGATCGGCGAGGAGTTCCTGGATACTTTAACAATTTTGCAACCACGGAGGACACTAACAACATGTCTTACCTCGCTCTGGACTCCAACGCCTGGCAGGTAAGTGTTAAAATTAAAGCGCCAATTTTGTTCGCAATTAAAACAATTTGTGAAATTTGCTTTACGCAATTTATACGGATTAATTATATGCGGGACAAGCGCATATTCATACGCGCGGCACCGCCTGATTACGAAGGAAAGGACGTGGCCAAAATGTTATTCGCTCTGCAAATTATCGCGTCTCTCATGCGCACAAAGGTTCTCCTCTCAGCGATCCGTTGGGGCTATCGAAAAAGCGTATAAAAAGGGGCCGCGTTACCAGTCGCCCGACTTCCTGCATACTTCCCTTAACCGCTTAATCACTTCCGCATACGGCGCCGCGAGCGAGGCGAGTTAAACGGGCCCCTATTTACCACGAGCGATTTCTGATAATCGTAGATCACCGAGAGGACAGATCAATCTTCCTTGGCGATCGCGTACGACGATCGACGCGCGGATCCACCCCATTCATAAACCAGCCAACCAGACGTCGGGATACGAATCGAAAAGAGAGATGCCTGCCACCGCTCTGCGGTGCACCCTTCTCTCCCATCCCTCTCCCTTCCCACCTCACCCCTTCCCCCCCTCCTTCCCCTCCGGCTAATTCTCCCTCTCGTAGACGTGGTCATTACCGACGCAAATTAGCGACGCCCGATCCACGTTCCGACGTTTCGCATGCGATGCATAGAACGAGTTTGCGCGATTACGCGCGTGTACTCGCGCTGAAAAACGACGCTGGTGGGTTTTACAAGTAATAACGCGCACGCGATCGCGCGAAACCGTACCGTACGAACCCTAGAGCAGAAGCCCTACGTGCAGAGCGGCCACTTTGTCGTTATTTAGGCGTAGGGGAGGGAGAGGAAAGTCGCAAACGCGAAGTTCTGTGTGTACATACGAGACTCTTATATCTATTATTTATACAAACGCTAGGATAACTATCGAGTTCTAGGAAACGTCCAATTCCCTCGGAGATGCGAAGACAGAGAAGGTGGAAAAATATAATATCTGGAGCTTGCTCGCTAAAATATAGACGAGATTATAAATGATTATTCTATTTAAAAATTTGGAGATACGAAAAATGCAGTCTTATTATGTTTGTCAATATTAAACGCGTCTAATATTGATGGAGGATGGAGGATGACTTATTGATTTTATTAGTTTTATGAAGGAATTATAATTATAAATAATTATTCTATTTAAAAATTTGGAGATACGAAAAATGCAGTCTTATTATATTTGTCAATATCAAACGCGTCTCATATTGATGGAGGTTATTGATTTTATTAGTTTTATGAAGGAATTATAATTATAAATAATTATTCCATTTAAAAATTTGGAGATACGAAAAATGCAGTCTTATTGTTTGCCAATATCAAACGCGTCTAATATTGATGGAGATTATTGATTTTATTAGTTTTATGAATGAATTATAATTATAAATAATTATTCTATTAAAAAATTTGGAGATACGAAAAATACAGTCTTATTGTTTGTCAGTATCAAATGCGTCTAATATTGATGGAGATTATTGATTTTATTAATTTTATGAATGGCACGCATTTGACTACTCGTCCAGGAATCGTATTTTTTCATCATTGCGTCGCATTGTCAATTTATTTGAGAATTATTTACAATAAATTTCCCTGTACAGTTTACAATTCATAAAATCGTTCAATCTATTCCCTATTGTTTAGTAACTTGCGCAAAAATTTACTATGCAACACTTTACATTTGACAACAAATATTGCTCGTTCGTTTCATTATTATTTTTGTCTGGATTTTTATAACGGTAACGTATGAATCATTTATTTTCATTTATTATTAATCAATGACATATTGATCGGTCCACCAAAATACCGTTCTTTCTTTTCCCAAGTTTTTAAAAAATTTTTTAAATACTTGTAAATCAATAATTTATGCGCTATTATTTGATAATCTATGTCATTGCGTGTAAATTTTACCATTTTGAACATTAAGTTCCGGTAGATCACATATGTTACGAATAACGGAGTCGACATTAATCGTCCATTGAGATATAAAAAAATGCTTGCGCACAAATGGCGAGGAGACGGATAAAAAGTCTTCGATAGAGTAAAAAAAAAACTGCCTATCCTCCACTTTGGATACGGTATGGCGCGCGCATTAGTTTTCCCCTTCGTGATGGTCACGGAAATCACATAGTAACGGCAGGAAATGTAAGTTCTCGAGCATGGAGGATAGCGGAAACACGTTTAGGTAGTAGCCCCGTATTGAATTATGTTGTTAGCCGAGTTCTCTAGCTTCGCCTATGTTGTCTGAAAGGCAATTCAGCAACGGTCGACTGCTACTTGTCATCTTAGTTTCACGTGCGCTGATACTTTAATGTGATAAGTACCTGGAGAATACTTTTTTTAGACATTTCAGTCACTTATTTAAATTACGACTGCAGTTGCATGTCGCTGAAAACGTTATATATCAATTGCAAATATATAAAGGTGAACTCGCAGGCTTTTTTATCTTCTTTTTCGTACACGTGTATATATATATTTTTTCTTTTTTATAATGTGCGCTTATACGATTAAACCTTGTTAGACGATTCCTTATAATTCTATTGTTATCTCATATATTAAAGAAAGAAATGTTATATAAAATTATATCCACATGCTCGAGATAAGTTATTTCTCATGTAATGAGTAGAGTAACACGAAATGTTTAAAATTATTTTGAAATGATTTTATACGCGCAGCCACTATACTGGGTTACCAAATAGAGAGAATGTCTGGTTCTGTTATATATAAAAATAATTACTGTTGAAATTCAGTTTTATCGTTTTGTTTTATATCGTTTTTTGTTTACACACGGAAATACAAGCTTGACAAAACAAAATACGTCAAAACGCTGCTTCATTGGACCGGGCTTTCATCGTTATAAAATTGCCGGGTGTATTGAAAAAGCTAGCCGAAAAATATGGGGAAATAATAATGCGCGATATAGAAAGAAAGTCGTCGAAATGCGGGAACGCGACGCGGGAGCGACGAGTATTTGCACATTTTCCAATAAAGTATGATCCGGTCACGTGCGAAAGCTGAGTGGCGGGTTGTGTCTTTGGCTGAAATAACAAGGGTCGTGCCCATCACGCAGGAGGATTAATACCTCGCTCTCACGTGTCATCTTTGCCGAAGATCACTCTCGTGTCTTTCGCCCCCTCCCCTTCCCCTTTCCCCCCTTTCTCCTCTCGCTTTCCGCAAGTCTCGCCGCGGATACGAATCGACAGGGTAACCGAAATCACGCGTACAATGAACGACGTGATATTTTATCGCGAACATGTGGGCGAGTACATATGTGCGATCACGTTAAATTGTATCATTTTATTGCACCGTATTAAGTAAACATTATTTTGATGTTAAAATTGTACAAAAAATACTGCCTTATAATTAATTTTGATTTGTATTTATGAAAGCAAAATCTTCGCGCAAGGTTTTCCAGAGCTCGAAAATACGTTCTAGTAATAATTAGCATTTTTTTCTCGCGTTTCCGTAACTTTACAAACATTTTCTAGCACACACAAGCTTTTCAATTAACATTTTTAAATTTCTCGTAGTTTTTGAAAATGAGCAAAATTTAAAAAATATGAAAACAGAAATACTGCGCTTTAAATTGCGAGCGAATAATCGTTGATAAGATAGTTTTAGTTAATATTGAATCATTTGGTTAAATAAGAATATTATTTTATTCTCAATTTTCGAATATTGTTGAATGAAGGAATTTTGTGGACGCATTTTGTGATTAAAAATGTCATTAAATTCGACTGATTCAAATCGTCTAATCTTTGAGATGCGCGCCGCTCGATTTAACGAAAGGAAACATTTTTCTAGGGTGTCAGTGTTCACCGGTTTCGCTTTCAGTGTAACCGAGCGTTGCGATCTTCTATCTATCCGTCCAATATACTCGAGTTATTTGTCGCTTTATCTGCGCTTAATGCGTGATTCACTATTTTGCATGACGGGAACAGTTGGTGGCTACATCAAAAACCCACCGGCACTTCAAAGTTGGTAGATTCGTGCGCGTCCTTCTCGTTGACGGGGGTAGAGCTTCGTTTGCGATAGGAAGGGCGGAAGAAGAAAGGAGAAGAAGGGTGAACGAAAAATAAATGATACCCGAATTAGCGTAATCGCGTGATGGTTTTGCGAGGGAGATACATGGCATGGGGAACGACAAATTGCGTTTCGATTTCATTTCGCGCGGAGACGGTCGTCATCACGAAAAAGTCGTGAGCGTAACAGTAAAAAAAAAAAGGAATTGTGTGATTGAAATGATTGTTTACTCGATCAACAAGGTCATTTTGTATTTTTTTTTAAATTATATTACGCTTTATTATTATGCTCGTATCGTAATACTGATATTTAATGCTAATCGTAAATCGATATTATTATATCGCGTCGAGGAAACTGTATTATGTAACGTGAAACGTATTTATGATAACATTTTCATTAGCACGTTGCAGTTATAAAATATTTATCTTGAAAAATTTCAACTTTATTAATAATGATTACACAAATAATGATTAATCATATTTTCAATAAATATGAATGATGATAAAATCAGGTCCCCATTATTACTTGCGTATATGAAATCTAGAAATTATTTTTGAATTAAGCGTGTTTTACTTTATACAAACAACTTTGTGGAAATGAATCGTCGATAAAGTTCGGGGTAAATATCTACATAAATGCTAAAGCCCGATTTTCGACTTTCCATAATCATCAAAAAATCCTGAAAAATGATTTTTTTCGAGAAAGATATTTATTAGTTATTTTAAATTATGTAGAATATGACTTTTAATATCTCTTTATTCTCCAATTTTGGTAACCTTTAAAAATTATTAGTTTCAACCTCTGCAAACTTTCATCATTTGTTTCTCGTCGATAGAGTATGTAAATAGAGCAGTTATTGACCGGCGAACCTTCGTCTGTTCAAATACACGGAACCGAACGCGAGGCGATTGTAGTCGAGGTAACTGCTTTACTGTAGCTGCGCGTGTTAATC